ATCTTAGTACGATTGTGCTTAATTTCGAGTTTTTCTTCTGCTGCAGTTTGGTCGTGAGGATCAGCGGAAAGAGTTTTTTTGTTTAAATAAAATATTATTATTATATGATTAATAAAATTTTAATTTTATTTAAAAAATTTTTAAAATCCTTTGCAAATTTGCCTAGATTACAAATTAGAGAATAAGTTTATATTATATATATTTTAAAATAGTTTACAAAATACCAAAATTTGACAATTATTCTTCCTTATACTTTTAATATATATATATATATATAAATAATATGTAGAGTAATTTTAATTAGTTTTAATAACTAAGAAATAAATAACCCTTTTTAAATTTTATTTAAAATCTATTATGTATAATAACATTGTATATTATACTTTATTACTATATGTACTATAATAGGCTTAAAGCATTTTTATTACTTCTTATGATATTAAGATCTATTGGTTTTGTTCTCTATTTTAAGTTTACTTTTCTCTTAGATTCTTCCTAATAATAATATTATCGATGCTTTATAAGTTGAAAAAAAAACAATTTAATTAAACATCCAATTTATAATAATGTAACAAAAAATTTTAAATGTAAAGCAAAAACTATAACAAGTTCAAGTTTTTTAGTTTCTCACACTACAATCCTTGGGATTTGGTTCTATTGCAGGTCTAATTTTTAACATAGCATTTTATAGTGTAACTTCTAAACTCTTCATGGTTCTTTAGTACAAAAATTGTTTATACTTTTTTTTTATCTTTGATATGATAATACAGATTCACATATTTTCATACTTTTTTTATCCATTTCTATATTAATTACTTTTTTAGCAATATGCGATTTTCATAATATTGACCTATTTTCAAATTTTTTCATAATTTGTTGTTTTATAAATCTAATTATAATTTCTATTTATCACAGTATCATGTATTAAGTATTACTTATAATGGAATTTATAGTAAAAATGGAATAGGAATAGATTGTGATGCTATAAATATACTTATTAATTTAGAATTTTTAAGTCTTTTTATTGATTTATTTATTTTTGGTTTTATTTTTATTTTTTAGTAAAATTAGTGCTCGGCAAAATCAAACTTTTTTTTAATACTCAAATACTTTTAAATCAATAGAGCAATACTGTATTATATATTGTATTATTGCATTACTATACCATATTGCTGTATTTATTTAAAAGCCAGATCATCACATGTAGTAAAAATCAAAGGCCTAAAAGATTTTTATATAAAAAAAATTATTTTTAGTTATTTTTCTTTCTATAATACAATGTTTTTTTGAATATAATACTTATTGTACACCTAAAAGTATTGATACTTATTCCTACTACAGTTTTAACTTGTTCTATTTCTTCATTCTTTTCAATGATAACAACAATATTAGAGTTTAAGATATTTTAAAATTTGGTATTAGAAAAAAAGAAGAGGTAACAAAACATAAATTGGTTTGTTACAAATCATTGATAAAGACAAAGTTTTTTCCTTTTCGATCATCAAAGGCTTTATATCGAAGTTGATCAAAATAATACAAAATTTGCTGAAAGAGTTCAAGAATTTTACTTAAAAAAGAATTATAAACAATTTAAAGATGATTTTGGGTCAAAATCTCGAAACAGATTATCGAAAGAATATAACACTGACTAAATTGATCAGCATTATAGCTAGTGCAAGCTAACTTTGTTGTTATTGTGTTCTTTCAGGAATCTGTTTTTTGGGATTTGACCCAAATCCTTTAAATATCATTATGAAGCACTTTTAAATTCTTTAAATAAAGATAATGAAAATACTAAAAATGAAGAAAGAAATGAGAAATATATTATTTCATATGACAAAAAATCATATTTCGAAATTGATAATAAAGACGATGAGGAAGATGAATATTATATTATCGAATTAACAGTAAAAAATTAGAAAAACTAGATAATAAAAAATATTTAGAGAAAATGCTTTATTATATTGAAAAGAATTTAAAAAGTAATAAGCATAATATCACAGAATCAAAAATTTTATCTGAGGAACTCCTTAAACACACAAAAGGTTATGCAAATATTCTTGAAATAAATTATTTTAATATTTAACTTATTCACATCGATCAGGTTATAAAAGAAATGAAACTCTAAAAGTGATAAAAAAATAAAAAAACAATCATAACAATAAAAAAGACAGGTGCGAAATAGTTTGTGATTTCTACATTTAGAGAACTCGACGAATCATTTGACAGAGGACACATTTTACAAGCTGCGCTTAAACCCTGAATTTAAACAAAATGAGCATATTATTTTTATTAATGATCCAGTCACTAAAGTTACAGTTTTGCACATAGGTTACTTTTATATACTTGAAGTAATAAGTTATATTAATAAAAATTTCACTTGGTTTTTTTTATTTATTTATTTATTTTTACTATTCATGTTTTAGCATTTTTTATGAATCATATTTTTGTTGTATTCATTATTTTCATTATTACTATTATTATTATTAAAATATTAGGTTCATAATTTTATATTTCTGTAATTTTCGTTGATATTATTATAAAAAGTTTGGATCTCTCATTAGGTTTTATAAATAAAGATACAGTATATCGATCTTTGAGCTTAAATCCATCTTTATTATATAGGGATGTTAAATTGTGAATTCAATCTGGTCCGATTCTAGGATCTGCTAGGATGGTTCTGGATCTAGATTCTTGACATAATGATAAATCGATCTCAGGACTCAGTCCTGAATTGCAATCCCTCAAATAAGTTCCAACCAATCATATTGATACTTTTGTTAAACAAAAAAAAATTTTATTAAAAAGTAACAAAGTTTTTATTACAAGATAAAGAAAAAAAAAAATTTATATAAAAAACTAAAATTTATAAAAAAAAAAAAAATTTATACAGTGCAGGACAGCAAGAGATATCCAACATCTATTAATAAAACTTTAAAGTGTTATAACTTTTTTAAAACAAGCTAAATCAAAAAACCTCTAACAAATTGATAGATTTTTAAATAAACTATATTTCTGGCAGAGGATTTTTTTTTTATTCTTTGGTTTAAAAAAGTTATAAAAGATTAAAGTTTATATGAGTTCAAAAAATTAGTATTTAATATTAAAAAAAAGAAAACATATATAGGTTTTTAACCAATCAAAATCAATTACTCAAAAATTAGCCAATC